CAACCACTGGCGGAGGCACAATATAGCGAAAAATTTAAATTGAAATTTGTCCGGATTTTGATGCCGCACCCTGTATATATACGTACCTGATTATTTCCTGCAGTCAATAATAAATCGGAGCAGACCGGTCAGGCGGTTAAACACAGTGGGCGCGTTCAAGACAGCAAAGCGGCTAGGTGCTCACAGATCCACTCCGCAACAGTTCAGTCCGCTGAATGATCAATCTCCAATGCCACGTACACGAGCACTATTAGAGTGGGTTTAATAAGGAGAGTGGAGCCATGGAGCCAATAAGCCGGAAGTCGTCATTTCACGATAGACGTTTACGACGTAATTTCAAGTTTTAACCTCTTCTTTTTCTCTAAGCCCTCTTCTTGTAACTAAGAGCGTATTCGATTTACTGACTCGACCCGATTCCGAGTCAATGGTCTGTTCTGTTTAGCTGCAAAAGAAGAGCTACATTGTGCAAGAAATGCAGCTAAACAGAACAGACCGTTGACTCGGAGTCGGGTCGAGTCAGTAAATCGAATACGCTATAATAGTTTGATCGTGAAATGGCGGAACCAATCAGAAAGAAGAACCTGAATTGGCTTCACTCTGAAGATACCCATTCTAGCGAGTACTTGCTCTGAGCGCGCAGCCGATTCCCGCGTAAACAATAAATTTAAATATATATCATTTAGAAATAAATTTCGTTAAAAGATCAATTTAAGTAATTTGAATTTTCTATTTACATGACATTCTATATAAATATAAATTGATATTAATTAATATATAATTTATTCAATGTTGTTTCAACGTTGCAGCAACATTAACAATCAATGTGGAAAATTCAATAAAGATTTAACTTGTGACGCAATTTATTCAATGTTGTTTCAACGTTGCAGCAACATTAACAATCAATGTGGAAAAATCGATAAAGATTCAACTTGTGATGCAATTTATTCAATGTTATTTCAACGTTGCAGCAACATTAATAATCAATATGGAAGAACCAATATAAATACAACATTAATAATACATTGACACTTCAACATTCAACATTGCAACATCTCAACAACGTTATTTCAATGTTCTGTGCTGTATGGGATATGTTATAGGGTTGCTCGTTATCGTATTATTGGGTGTTAAACTTAATTCCTGCCGTTTTTTCGTCTCCAAAATTGATTTGTTTCGAAGAGAAGATGAATGAATACCTTAATCATAGTAATTTCTTCCATTTTCTACTACTTTTTTCATATCTCTGGCAACATGGCAATTCCACGATGGTAGAACGCGGTGTCTTTCGAGGCGATCCATTCATCCACCCATTTTTGGACTTCGTTGTGATTGGAGAAGTGTGTGTCCGTAAGTGCGTGTTGCATCGATCGGAAAAGATGGTAATCCGACGGTGCCAATTCTGGAGAGTACGCTGTATGCGGGAGAACTTCCCATTCAAGCTCTAGAAGTGCCTGCTTCACGCTTTTCGCGATATGTGATCGAGCGTTATCATGCGACAAAATGACTTTGCATCGATTGTTGACTACAGATGATCTTTTTTGCATCAATTCGTCACTCAATCGGTATAATTGCTGTTTGTAGCGATCAGCTGTAACGGTTCCATTTGGACCCAAGAGTTCGTAATACAGCACACCTTCCTGGTCCCACCAAACGCACAGCAAGGTCTTACGCCCGTGAATATTCCTCTTCGGCGTTGAAGTGGATGGTTGGCCGGGGTCCACCCATGATTTTTTTCACTTGGGATTATCAAAATAAATCCATTTTTCATCGCCAGTCACGATGCGCCACAAAAAACCCTTTTTTGTTTGCCTGGCAAGAAGGAAGTCGCAATAGTCAAACAATTTAAAATGGCACTTTCTGACAACTCATGTGGTAGCCATCTCCCTTCCTTATGGATCTTTTCCATGGCATGCAAGCGTTTTGAGACGGCCTTTAGAGTAATATTTAACTATTTCGACAACTCTAAAAGCGTTTGAGCTGGATTCTCATCAAACAATTCTTGCAGCTCGACATCTTCAAATTTTTTTGGCTGTCCTGGACGTTCTTTGTCTCTCACATCAAAATCACCAATTCGGAAGCGTTCAAACCAAACTCTACATGTTCTTTCCGATGGAGTTTCATCACCATACTTCGGATAATAAGCGATGCGCTTCAGCTGCGGTTTTCTTGAGGTCGAAGTAGTGAAGAAGCACATGTCGGAAAAACAGTTTATCGATTCATTTTCAATCGATTGGAAAATCTCTTTGGCGTCGAGAAATCTAACCTGTGAGGATTCAGTCACTTTCAGCGATGTCTAAACTACAAAAGACATATGACTTCATCGTCGAAACTCGCCAGCGTTGGAGCCAGCACCCTCTAGTAGCGAGCGGCAGGAATTAAGTTTGTAACAACCTGACTTTTAGGCGCGAGCTAGCTCGTCGGCTCGTGCTAGGGTCGTAACGCGGGCGGCGCGTAAAAGAGGTTCGGTGGGAGAGGGAGATGCGAATATGTGTATAGACGATGCGTATGAGACGATACAACATATATTTATTAAACGCTATATACAATGTGTGT